GCGCCAGGCCTTCCTGTCCTTCACTGCCTCCCTGAGTTTGCTCAGTTTCATGCTCACCAAATAACTTTACTGAAATTTTAAAAAGAGAGAGAAAAAAACCAAACAAGAGCTAATAGGTAGAAGAAAGAGGGAAGTAGGAAAAGAATAGAGAATGCAGGAGAAATAAAGAGAGGAAAGAAATATAGGAAAGAAATGTAAAGAAACGACTTCCGATTTTCCTTTACAGCAGTTATAAGCGAGAATGTAAATTAACCTCTTACCCCATGGTTACACCATTACTCAATACTTACTTACACCATTACTTACTAACTTACACCATTACTTACCCACCTTTTTTTCATTTCACACAAGAATTTCAGCAGCAGCGGCTTAATCTTGTCTTCCCGGTTTGCAGGCTGGTTCAGAAAGCAGAACTGGTGCGTCTCTCCCAGACACTGATGCATGTGAAGAACCTGCACTGGATTGTGGTCGAGGATGCACCCAGCAAGACCCCTCTGGTCTCAGAGTTGCTGGTCCAGAGGAACCTGCCTTTTACCCACCTCCATGCCGAGACCCCGAAGGAGCACAAGCGGAAGGAGAGCGACCCCAACTGGCTGAAACCCCGCGGGGTGGAACAGCGCAATCTGGCGATACAGTGGTTGCGGGAGAACCGCCAGCTCACTGACCCAGGCGTGGTGTACTTTGCCGACGACGACAACACGTACAGTCTTCGCCTCTTCGATGAAGTCAGTGGGCACGAGGGGGAGGCAGCCGGAAAGGGGAGGAGGACTGGGGGGAGCCCTATCAAACCGGAGTCTGCCCGTTGCGCTTGGCTGAAACGTGGTTTGGGCTTCAACCTGCTGTTTGAACCCAGCCGGTGGTGGTTTAGGGGTGGCTAAGCAAACCCCGGTATGCCCCCGTTCTGAATATTATTAGCAGGATGCCATGAAGTGCCCTGCAAGAGGCGCTTTTCTGAAGGCAAATAATTGGCCTTCTTTTCATACACAGTTCCTCTTCTGTAAAGGAAGTGAGCAGAAGGCCACGGCCTTAAAAAGGTTCAGGTTCACTTCTGAGCAAGAATATATGCAATGATATTAATAATAATTGATTACATTTATCGGTCGCCTGACTCCCAGCGACTCGGGGCAGTTGATTAGCGTGGACTTGATCCTGTCCTTACTTGGATTTTTATTTATTCATTTATGATGCGGATTGAAAGAATGCCCAAATCTTCATGCTTTACATAATAAAAAGTCAGACCAATAACAGGGGAAGCAGATGATATTTATCCAGAAAGCATATCCTTTTTATTCTTTACAAAATACAGTCTGTCTTATTCTCCCCCCCTGTTTTTTTTTATTATGTGAAAGTGAGGACTACCCCCTTGCAGGCTGCAAATGACGAGAGAGATTCTTTGTGCCAATGGTCTATTAGGTCAATATCGGTTGAGAAGGGTTTGTTTGGCCCATTTGTTGAGCCTCCGGAGCTCCAGGATGCTGCCAGAAGAGGGGGCAAACAAATAATTACAAAGAGTTACGGGTTAGTTATTAAACTGTGGTTAAACAAGCAAGGAAGGAAGCTAAGGTGGTTGTGCTGAAGCTCTTCTGGTTTCAACAGAAGAGAATATGTGTAGCTCAGGGTTGAACGGTGAAGTCCTTGGGGTTCTCTGAGCTTGGTTGCTTTCTTGAAAATGTTTCGTTACCCGGCTAGGTAATATCTGAAGAAAACCAGCAAGCTCAGAGAACCCCAAGGACCCCACTTTTCTGGTTTCTCTCTCCCTACCAGATCCGCTTCACCAAGCGTGTCTCGGTGTGGCCCGTAGGCCTGGTGGGGGGCCTCCGCTTCGAGCGTCCTCTGGTGGAAAACGGCAAAGTGGTGGGTTTCTACACGGCTTGGAAGCCCAACCGGCCCTTCCCGATCGACATGGCTGGGTTCGCCGTGGCCCTGTCGCTGCTGCTGGCCAACCGCGAGGCTCGCTTCGACTTGCTGGCCGAACGGGGCTACTTGGAGAGCAGCCTTTTGCAGTCGCTGGTCTCGATGGAAGAGCTGGAGGCCAAGGCGGACAATTGCACCAAGGTTAGGAGGAGATCGCGGGGGAGAAGGTGGGAGCAGCGTTAAGAGCCAGGGCGGCACAAAATCCAGGTGTGGTTGGCTGGCTTAACCATTCATTTATTTCTCTTTTTATTTACGTATTTATTTATGTTTATTGAGAACTTTACATAAAGGAAAAGACAAATCTAAAGGAAAAGGAAGAAAAACAAGGTGCGAGAAAAGAAAAAAAGGAAAAAAATGCAAGCGATGAAATAGAACGACTTCCAACGTTCTCTTCCACAGAAGAGAATTTGATAATCCTATAAAATAATCTTAAAAAATATTATCTTGTAAAATTACAGTTTTATAATCCTTCCTCCCTCTCGGGAGTTACACAAATCCCTTCAGCGCCACACTTAATCCACATTTTGTAATCCTCAAACCCACAAATCCACGTATCGTTTTTTTTTCTTCTTTCAGCAAAAAGTCGCATAAGGTTTTCAGTCTTTCAGAAAAGGCTTTGTGGTTTTTTCTCTGACCAGGCAGGTCAACTTGGCCATTTCTGCAAATTCTGACATTTTTGCAATCCATTCCTGCCCTGTGGGAATTTCAGTATTCTTCCACCGTTGTGCAGATAATAATCTTGCTGCAATTACCATATTTTTATTTATTTCTCAGCCGGTATATGCCGTTCTGATCGTAAAGTCTCTGCAGCCCCCGGTGGTAAATGTAAAAACTCATAGAAACAGAACATTGTGATGGTTTAATGGCATGCAGGCATGCAGGCATTGTGGTTTATAAACCAGGTTTCCTGGCTTGGGGCATAAAGCAAGCTTTTTTTTTTGTCTGCGCTCAGTCATTGCTGACCCTGCAGTGACTGCTTGGACGAGTCCTTGCAGTTTTCAA